TGACGTGGCTGATTCTGATGTGCTTATTTCCATCGTAAACGGCGGAAGGTTAGTGGACGTCATGGATTCTGAAGGACTTGTTTCTGAAGTTGGAACCGAAGTCGAGGGCTCGTTTGATTCTAATTCAGTTGTTTGTGAAGTACAGGGCTCAGTTGGAGGAAGTGTAGGAGAGGTGACTAGTTCTGCTAAACTAGTTTCCGGGATGGACGTTGAAGTTGGAAGTGGCGTCGAAGTAGATGGGGAAATTAGAGGTTGGGTAGGCTCTACTGTGGATGGTGCAGTGGATGGGAGGGCAGGAGGAAGGGTTTCTTGTGAAGTGGTTGTTTGTGAGTTAGGTGGCGAAGTTGGAAGTGATGTCGAGGGCTGTGTAGGGGGTTGCGTTGATCCAAGTGTTGTTGGCTGTGATACAGGTGACGAGAACTGGGTTGACGGCAAGGAGGATTGAGAAAAAGGAGGTCCAGCTGATTCCGGTGTTGTTGGCTGCAAAGTTGATGCTAATGTTGGAGCATTTGTAGAGGGGTTTGTTGCATCTACAGTAGTTGGCACTATTGTGGCAAGAGTCGTTTCCTGGCATGGTGCTGGCGTAGTTGAAGGAAGACTTTCTTCTGATGTAGATGGTGCTAAAGTAGTTGGTTGTAAAATTGCCGTAGGCGGAGTCGGTTCTGAATTAGTCGACTGTGGTGTAGAAGATGAGATCTGTGACAACGGTGGTGGTGCTGGGAAAGTGTAAGATGAAGTAGGTGGTTGAGGTGATGCCGGTGTTGTTGATTGAGAGGGTGCTGAAGTAGAATAAGTTGTTGGAGCGGTATCTGGTTGTGCAGTGGTTGAGGATGCGGTCGGGGACTGGGTTTGTGTTAAAGTTGTTGGTAGCAAAGTAGCCGGGGAAGGAGGAGGGGAGGTTTGTTCAAAAGTGGTGGCTTGCAAAGTTGCAAGAGATGTCACGATTGAACTCGAAGCTGACGATTGGAATGGACTTTCAGTCACAACTGGCATAGTGGGCGTTGAAGCTGAAATTGCAGTGGAAATATTATAATCAGCCTTTATTACGGCCCCCAAAGCTACGATACTCACTGAATTGTTCGCTATTGTTATTATTGTGGTACATTGCCAGGATAGCTAGTATTTCCTCCAATAGTATATTGAGACAAACTTTCACTTGAGGATCGGCGTTAGCGAGGTCGGATTGTGCGGTGACTAAAATATAAGGTAATTTTCGAAAGAGAAAGAAGAAATTGAATATAAGTTTAGGAAAGCTGAATAAACGAAATTCAAATATTTTTTAGGTTCATACTTAATTTGTTTTATATTTACTTACCAGCTTCAGTAACCGTTTCAGCAATGCTCGCCGCAGTAGTGACTTCCGGACTGAGCGTAGTCATGGCGTTTAGTTGATTTAGCAAATCCGCAGCTTCGCTTTCAGCATCTATGATAAGAAGAAGATAGATCGCGCGTCGATATTAGAATAATATTTCTAAAATACTATTCTCACTTTCACACTTACTGTGTCCGCCATCGTCATCGGGGTCCGGATGAAGCACTTCAGTCAAGAGGCGCAGTATTTCTCTAAACAGCCCGCTTTTCTTGTCTGTAGCTGCACTAGTCTGGCTAACTGAATTTAGCAACTTGACACAAACACTCAACGGTGGATGCGCAGTGCCGTTAATGTAGTCATTTTCTAAAACAAATTAGAAATATACAGAATAAATTTTAAATAATTGCGTGCTTCTCCACTTACGCGCTTGCTGCTGTTCAATACTTTGGCTGCTATTTTTTCTCAGCTCAAACTCCAGTTTTTCCAGCACATCGCCCAATGGTACAGTTTCAGTTTCTGTAAAATTACATGTTTAGCCAACAATTTAAAGAAAGAAACTTGTATTTATGCAACTTACGGATTTGGGTACCACTGTCCACCGACGTTTCATCGTAAATATTGATGATTTTCGTTGTTGTGCTGCTGATCGAACTTATGTCTGTATAGTCGCCAACTTAAACAAATATTAGAAAAGAAAATTTTTACAAAATTTATAATGGAAATGGTAATGAAAATGGTGATGTAAATGATAATGGTGATAGAAGTGGTATTGGTAATGGCAGTAGTGGTGGTAATGGTAATCGTACTAGTAATCATAATGTCAATGGTAATGCTAATGGTACTCTTTATTGTAGTGGTAATTGAAAGTAATGCCAATGCTAGTAGCACCAGTAATGGTAATCGTACTAGTAATCATAATGTCAATGCTAATGCTAATTGTACTCTTTATTGTAGTGGTAATTGAAAGTAATGCCAATGCTAGTAGCACCAGTAATGATTATTGTAATGATAAATGTATTGATAATAGTAATTATGATAAAAATGGTTACTAAAATGGTAATGGTAATTGCAATGATAACTCAAGTGGGTAAACAACATTTTGGTTAAACAACTTGGAATTTGTATTAGATCTCCACTTAATCTCCAGCCTAAATGTTTATTGGGAATGGTTATGTTTAAGGCAATGGTAATAGTAACAGAAATGTCAATGCTAAAGATAATGGTGATGATGATGGCAAGGGTAGTGGAAATGGCAATTTTAATTTTAATGCAAGTAGTATGCTGCAGAAATCCAAAAATCATCATTATCTAATGACTAGAATCGCTTTCTGGAGGAGTGTGGTCAGATAAATATCGATGCACTCGCTCTTAGCGTCGAAAAACCACCACTGGTTTTCAGAAGGATGGAGTCAGGAAACAACTGATTATCTATGATCCTTTACTTCACAGGATGAGAGACAGAAGCAGTGGCATGCGGTGAAATAAAGTTAGAAGGACTTTTCCTCAACACCATTACCTCTAATGCGGAGAGACCCTATTCTAAGACGTTTACTTTGGAAACTTTTAGTGCACGTAAAAGAACGTGCAAAAACTAAACATATTTGGATATGTCTACTTCACTCATTACATCTTCGTCAAGGGCCGGTCACTCCTCTAGGTACTATATCCTACATATCCTACAAGAGTTCCAGTTCTACGATAGCTCCACTTTCAGAGAACGAAGCGTTTTTGGCAATTAGAGTGCTAGGTAAGTACACTAGTGAAGAGTAACAAAAAATGTATGGCTTAGGCACTAATCCAGCAAGAGGTTTTATTATAAGGAGGCTACACATTCACTGACCAGGTGGCGGCTATTTGTTGGATTTAGTAGCGTCAAAATACTATATAGTAGATAGCCGGCACAAACAAGGTAAACTGTGGCTAGGCTTACTAATTCCGAGGAATCGTGGCACTCGTGGCACTCCTTAGAGTACTGCTGCACTTGCTGGGAGCCTTAATGTGGCGGGTGCTGGTTTGGTAATACTAAGTGGCGTAATAAAACGGTGACACCATCAGTGTATCTTTACAAAGATAGACTTTCCGTAGAAAAAATCATTTGCAGTGAAGCCTGACGAAAGACTCCACTCTAAGAAAAGGAAACTGGAGTGCGACCAACTTTTGTTGAGATCATTTGAATCCACCCTCTCGATTGTTCGGGACCATTTTTTCTTTTTAGTTTTAGCCTGGCGATTAGTGTTGCTCTCAGGTTTCTGGTTGTTATGGTAATAAACATGATGTAATTTTTGTAACCATGGTTCTTATAATTGCTATTACCTATGCCAGCTTGCCCGGTTGATTCAGAAATATCCGTCGTAGTGGTATTCACGCCGCCACTAACTGAAAATAAAATTAACAAGAAAATGTTTAACATTTGCACAGACTCGTTTTGCATTTACCTGCAATACTTACTGATATGGTCACCTTTAAGCACACCACGCCAGGTGCCAATAACCTCCACCACTCTTTCATCCTCCCCAGATGCTGATTTAATGACTTGAACCCTAGAAATATGAGGACTGGCGTGTGTGAGATCCGAGACAGGGACCTTAGCGCCTTCAATATAATAAAATATCGTAAACATGAAGGTTTTCATAACAAAAATCAAAAATAAATCAATAAAAGGAATTGAAATTCCTACCTAATGGTGATGATATATCTTCACCTACTGTCTCCGTTTCTGATTTTACTAGATGGAAACCAGAAAAATTGACTGCGGAAAATGTGGGATCTGTGACTATAGGCACCTGCTCAAAAGTGGCCGGATCAATGGTTTCTAAAAAAAAAACAGGTTGCATATAAAATAATAAGCCATAAATTTGTATGTTAGTAAAAATTATACACATGCTTACCAATTTCTTCAGTGACACTATGCCCAGCTACACTCGCCGACACCAAAACCGCAGCGACCAACAGCAAGCAACAGGCCACACGTTTCATTGTTTAATTTGCTCTGCTTTTACTGAAAAATAATAAACAAATTGTATTTTATTATAAAAACCATATAAAGCTTAACTAAAAAATAAACAAATATTTTAAATTCGAATATGTGTGAGTGAGGAAGTGAATGTGTGAGTAGTTTTGTTTTTATTTCACGCCAAAGCGGCTGGACGGATTTAGATGAAAGTTGGCACATGGAAATCGCATGATCTAGATTAACATATTGGATATTTTTTTAAGAGGCTTGCCACCAGCTTTGAAAGTAAAACAAAATTTTAAGTTCAAAGAAATTTATATCGATGCCAAAGCGTGTGAAATTAAAAAAAAAACTTTATTTCGAAAACTTTTTTTAATAGAGTTGCCACCTGTTCAAAGTAAAATTTTGTAACTAGGTTAAGTGAAGTAGCAGTAGTAGTAGTAGTAGAATTTTGTAACTAGGTTAAGTGAAGTGGTATATGCGTAGGTGCAACAAATTTTAATTTAGAAAATTATTTATATATAGTTGGAATCTGTTTTAAAGTCAAATTCCAGTTTTTATTGAGTTTAATAAAGTATTGCAATATGGAACGAAATAAGTAGGCCCAAGAAAGATTTACATATTTCGAAAATCTTTTTGCAAATATTTTTGAAGAGGTAGCAACCTTTTCAAAAACCAAATTGAATTTAATTACTAAGAGGTAGAGTAAATTTTAACTATATATATGTATTTCAATCGAATGAGATACTATTTATATATGTACAAGAAGGCTTTGTTTCGAAGATATATTTAAAAAGGGTTGCCACTTGCTTGCAAACTAAATTTAACTAATAATTTGATTTTTATGTTCCATTACGAAAAATTTTTTATAAGGGTTGCCTAGTCTAGTATAATTTAATAAGTTAAATGAAAGTATTACAATATGGATGTCAAACGAAACAGGTTTAAGAAACCTTTATATGGCTAATATTTTGGGTTGTCATCTGTTTTAAAGTAAAGTAAAACTTAATGAAATATTGCAATATGGATAACAAAATAAAGATGTTTAAGAACGCTTTATTATGAAAACAGTTTTGAACAGTTAATGAATGAAAGCTTTTGGTCAGAGGTATTGCTTTACCAAATTTTAGCAGAAAAGCAGTAGCAAACAGACTATTTCTTCTAACTATAAAGATTTTCTTCTACTGCCAAGGCATATTTTTTCAGTATAGTACTGAGTGATCAAAAGTGTTTTCATTCGATCAAAATTTACAATCAAGATGATTGGGAATATCTATGTTGCATTCACATTCTCTTCGTGATTTTTCCCTAGCATTCAATAAACACTACATATTTTGTATCGTAAATTTTTAACTAATTTCAAAAGTGATAAAATCAAACAATCACATTTTTAAAACGAAGTAAATGGGAATGCACACTCAATTGATTCAGTCATTATATTGACATACATTACTAGACGAAGAACGATGGAGAAGTTATTACTCTCCAAATAAACGTCTATCTTTTTCCCTAAAAACTTCCCCAATGGCAATAAATGGAGCCAGAAGTAAGCGAATGAAGCGGGATATAGGTAGATATTGCAGGCAAGTTTGCCTGGTCCATCTCAAAATATGGTACCTACCGAGTGGTAGTATGGACATCCAACCACTTGGCTACAGCAGCCACCAGTCTTGTGGGGCGGCATTTCCTTGAGCAATAAATTCAAGCGAAAGTATAATAAATTCAAGCGAAAGTATGTAGTTGGAAGACCGCATTTAAATTTTATTCGGGTCCAAAGCAAGAATCTTACTTATATGGAGGTGATATGCGAGATTTCTCAGCTAAACAGATGTATAAACCCTAATTTGAGAGTCTCTGAACAATGAAAATAAGGAAAGTATATCGAATAAATGAATTCCAATGTTGGTGAAACTAGTCCCTGTTACCACAAGTGGAAACGGGGGAGGACCTGATTCTCCGCTGCGTGTAACTAGTGGTCACGCCTCTGCCGGAGCGGGGTTTTGCCTTGTAGTTCTTATGCGGCTAAAAAAAAAAAAAGACGTTAGCCAGAGGATGTACTGCTGTCGAGTCGGACTCAGATCTGGCCAGCGTAAGCGGAAACTTTTAATGCACTAAAGAAAGAAGGCTTTTTGAAGTGCGCAGTATGTAACTGCATCCTAAAGTGGAGAAGAGCATTCGCAAGTGGAAACGGACCGAGAAGACAACCAGGCAAGAAAAGTCTAAAGGCTAGACCTGGTATTTTAAAGACTGTGTAGAAAGGCTGGGAATAATAGTTATGGAATTGTGCTTGCCGACGCACTGTATGTTTCCCAAGAGAGTCCCAGATATTTATATTACGAAAAATCGTTTCAAAATAAAGCGACAATGGTCCTGCTATAGCAGGAATGCCTCAACGATGGTGAATGCCAAGAAGTAGTTACTCTCTGCCGAAGCTGCCATGATGAGGATAAGGAATTGTTAATATCTGGGTGTAAAGTCAAAGCGCCTCAGGCACTTGCGTTAACCCATCTCCAACAGTCTACCCGAGATGGTGGAGGTAGAACTGTTGGATCTTCTCGGCTTTATTAGGGATAGTAATTGGTTCAGTAGGGTAATGACTTCAAAGTACTTAGCTACTCTCTCGGCTATGGTAAGGAGTCCCCTCCTGGGCCTCCGGCTACAAGACGAGGACATGACTTATACATGGAAGTGGGTCCCACAAATTTACCACGAAGGCAAGGTTGCCGCGCTTAAACTCCTTATGCTTGAAAGTATAAGTTTCGTAACTTTGGAAGTTGTCGAAGCATTTTCAAGTTTGTGGATTACCACGAATATATTTTGCCAACCTTGAGGTTAGTACAGTTGAATTCTGTATTTGAACTGAAAAATTAGTTAAATATGTAATACATAGCATTTTTCGGCTGAGATACTTAATGCCACGATCAAACAAATTATATCAGTTACTTGCTGTTTAAGTCACTTGGATCATTTGGATTTTGGCAGGAATATTTGATCATCCCTTGTTAAATTTTCTTACGATGCATATCCAATTAAGTATAATTTCGTTCACTTAAAATCCATTTGAAATATTTGTTTGAATAAAAATATAAATTTTTCGCAATTTTTTAAGTTTTAGATGCACTTTCACGTTCGTTACCTTATAAAGCAACTAAGCAATTCCACCTTAAATACTTTCACAGCAGGACCTCTCCAGTAAATATCAATAACAATTAAACACAATTAGCCAACTGAACTGACTGCTCACTACTATCGGCAACTTATAAGTAAACCTCAACGAAACGGCTCTTTTATATAAAAAAAAATTATATTGCGTTTAATTTTACGCTATAGAGTTTAGTTTAAGCGGCTTTGTCTTATTAAAAGTGCGTACGTGCTAATATCTATGTGTATGAGAAGTGTAAGTAATAAATAAAATAAAATAAATTTCCTTTAAGCCACATGTGCAGTAAAATTTACTGATATATTCAGTACATGTGTTTTTACGAGCAACTAACAAGTCTAGTACATATTTTTTTTGTAATAATAACTCAAAGATAAATAACATTAAACAAAACACGCGCTATTAAAAAGCCGTTAATAGTCATTTTAAACTTATTAGAAGCAATTACTGAAATTGCCTAAGCATAGCTTGATTATGACGTCTTTGTTTTCTGCATATTATAAGATTTGTTCCTCTTTAAACTTCTCTGGCTTCTTAATGAATCGGAAGGGGATGCTCGTATTTTCGAACCAATTTCCGTCATCCACTGTCGACAGATTCAAACAACCCCGGCAAATCAGAAAAAGCGTTCAGTTAAAATGAATAAAATTTATAAATTGGTAACACTTCAGATGTAAAAATGCATCATTTAAATTATGTCCCACTACCGGTCATTGCGTTCCTCTTCAGCTTTGCTTTGAAAAACTAACTTAGTAAAAACACAATCAGGGGGTCTGCTAGGTTTCGCAAAAAATCCTAAGACAGGCCTGCAGAAATCCTCCCATGGGCATCATAATGCACATGTGCACCCTCCGAGTGGACTCTTTAACTAGCGCTGTCAGTCTTACCCAGCATAAGTTTGTACTTGAGGCCCTGGATGAGCCAAACTGTTCCTGTGATTGACGAATATTGATAACCACATACGTTCAATAGTTACCTTTTCATGACAATATTCAGCATCAACTAGTATCCGAGGTAAATTTTTTACCTTATCTGGTATTCCAGTAATGTTATTACAATTTTGTTTCCTGCCGCGCTGTAAAACAACCCGATTGAAGAAAGGTCGGCTTGTAACATCCAGAAAATGAAAGAAGTATTCCCCCAAATTTTATCCAAATTGTGTATGTGAAAGCAACAGTGCCTTCTTACTATACCAACTAGAGATAAATGAAACTTTGAGAGTTTCCTGAGGCTACAATTCTAGACACCTTTCAGCTGTGGGCTTTTATCCAAAGCTGCTCTCGCTTTCAGATGTCGTGCTTGTCGTGCTAGCACTAAATCTTCATTTGGCACAGTTTTCAAAAAAGAGCGCCATCTGTGGTGAGTTTGTCGACCTCCTCGTTGCTGTCACGCCAGTGTGCCCGAAGCCCTGGGTAGGTGTACCTTCTTAACGGCATCAAATGAACGCGATTTGTATACGATTGACAGTCTTGTCCCTTAAGCATTGGTTATCGACTTTTAGACTTGA